CACCATTTTGTGCCTGGGCGTCCACAGCCTCAGGGAGAAACGCCCCCCTCCCGCGAAACCGCCCCACAACGGCTCTTCGCCCCGAGCTGGATGCCGCACTTGTTGTACAGGTGGAAGTCGGGGTCGGAGTCCAGGCCCTTCCGCATCCACACGTGACGGATCGCCTGCGCCATGTGGCGCTGCCGCTTGTCCAACTGCGTAGGGGCCAGTGTCAGGGTCGCGCCGTCCAGGTCTAAGTTCATGTTCGCTTGCCCCCATTCGGGCGTCTTGTCCACATAGGATGTAGGACGCCCCAGCGTAATGTAATTCCTATTTGTCCCTCCTCCCCCCCTCCATCCTCCCGCCGCCCTCTCGTCTCTCTTCGTCGGGCCGCCTAGAACTCAGGCTTGAGCAGGGAGGGTAGCGGTCAGCACAGGCTCTCGGGATGATGGCCCTCAGCAGGACGGCGCGCAGAGTGCTGCAGGGCCGAGCCCGGCCGACCGACCCCTCATCCTCGCTTCTCGGGGAGGGCGAGCGGGGGATCGAAATATGTTGCATGCTGATGGGTTCGGCGCCCCATTTCTCCCCTTACCACCCCAGCGTCCTGCCCTCCTCCGCCTCCTCCTCCTCCTCCCTCCCCCTTCTCCTCCCTCCTCCTCCTCCTCCTCCTCCTCCTCCTCCTCCTCCTCCTCCTCCTCCAGTTGAGCACGCATGCAGTTGAGCCAAGTTGAGCCAGTGCCACCTTGTCCAAGGTCCCCTGCGGGGGCGCCGCGAAGACCCTCGCACTCCGCTCGCCGCAGCCTCGGGCAGAGCGGCCGTCCTCGTCTTGGGGGGGCCGAGGGCGCGAAGACCATCGCGCGCTCCGCACCGCGGAGCGCGCTGCGCGAAGCTGGGTGAACCGGCTACTGCTCCCTTCCTCATCCTGGCGATCCTCCTCCCTCCTCGCTCCATCCTCGCCTCCTCCCCAGACCCCCCAGGAGGAGGAGGAGGAGGAGGAGGAGGAGGAGGAGGAGGAGGAGGAGGCCCCCGGCGTCGTGGCATCTGTGGCAGCGGGGGCCCTTGGATGTCTCGACCCGTTCCCCCCTGGGGCGGGTTCGCAATCCTGAGGCGTTTTTGCGTGACGGTCCCGAGGCCCTCCAGAGCGTGGCAGGAGCTTTGCAGTGGGGGCCGATACCAAGAACCACCCTGCTTGCCTCCAGGGTGCCCTGTGTTTTCTTGGCGGAGCCGGGTGAAATTCCGTGCGCGCCGGTGACTGACCGACTGACTGACTGATTGTTTGATCGACTGACTGAACGTCAGGAGGGCACCTTGAACAACACATTTCAAACCGCCCGCGGGCGCGTAACCGCAACTGGGCGACACATTTCGACCCGTCCGCGGGCGCGCAACCGCAACCGCAAATGGGCGACACATTTCAACCCGCCCGCGGGCGCGCAACCGCAACCGCAACTGGGCGACACATTTCGACCCGCCCGCGGGCGCACAACCGCAACTGGGCGACACATTTCAACCCGCCCGCGGGCGCGCAACCGCAACCGCTACTGGGCGACACATTTCAACCCGCCCGCGGGCGCGCAACCGCAACCGCAACTGGGCGACACATTTCAACCCGCCCGCGGGCGCGCAACCGCAACCGAACCTGGGCGCACATTTCGACCCGCCCGCGGGCGCGCAACCGCAACTGGGCGACACATTTCAATCCCCCCGGGCGCGCAACGCAACCGCAACTGGGCGCCACATTTCGACCCGCCCGCGGGCGCGCAACCGCAACCGCAATTGGGCGACACATTCCAATCCGCCCGCGGGCGCGCAACGCAACCGGGACCGCAATTGGGCGACATATTTCACCCTGCCCGCGGGGCGCGCAACCGCAATTGGGCGACACATTTCAATCCGCCCGCGGGCGCGCAACCGCAACCGCAACTACGCGGCACATTTCGACCCGCCCGCGGGCGCGCAAGCGCAACTGGGCGACACATTTCAATCCGCCCGCGGGCGCGCAACCGCAACCGCACATTTCAATCCGCCCGCGGGCGCGCAACCGCAACCGCAATTGGGCGACACATTCCGACTCGCCCGCGGGCGCGCAACAGCAACCGCTATTGGGCGACACATTTCAATCCGCCCGCGGGCGCGTAACCGCAATCGCACCTTTGCGACGCATTTCAACCCGCCCGCGGGCGCGCAACCACAACTACGCGACACATTTCGACCCGCCGGGGGCGCGCAACCGCAACCGCACCTGGGCGCCACATTTCAACCCGCCCGCGGGCGCGCAACCGCAACCACAACTGGGCGACACATTTCAACCCGCCCGCGGGCGCGCAACCGCAACTGAGCGCCACAGTTCACCCCGCCCGCGGGCGCGCAACCGCAACCGCAACTGGGCGACACGTTTCAACCCGCCCGCGGGCGCGCAACCGCAACCGCACCGCTATTCTGCCGTCCTCCTCCAGGGGATCTGAGGCGGAGGAAGGGTGGGAGGGAGGGGGGAGGGAGGAGGGAGGCGGGAAGGAGGAGGAAGTAGGAGAAGGGAGAGGAGACGGAGGGAACGGTAGAGAGCTCACAATGATCGGGGGCGGACAATTTCTGCCCCCCCCCGTTCCACGCAAGTGGATCGCCACAGGGCTCCAGACACTAGATTCCTTACCCAAGGCCTGCACTGTGTGCTAGCGGGATGGGTGGGTTAACCGCCCCCGAGGGGGGTGACGAGGCTTTGACAGAAGCGGTCCGTTGCACCGCTAGTTTGAAGTTGGGGGGGCGATGCCGCGGGGATCGATTGCGCGTTCACCCGCGCGCAAGCTGCCCGCGGATGTAGGTGCATCGGCGCCGTCTTATTCATGCAGCTTGCCGCGTCTTATTCATGATCTGGTGCAGGGGCAGGTGGAGGAGGAGAGGGGGGAGGACGAGGAGGAGGTAAGGCAGGAGGAGGAGGAGGAGCAGCAGGGCGAGGAGGAGGATGAGGAGGAGGAGGAGGAGCAGCAGGACGAGGAGGAGGAGGAGGAGGAGGAGGAGGAAGACCAGGATGGCCAGGAGGAGGACGATGGGGAGGGGGATGCCAGGGTGGTGTTGCTCGAGAAGGTGCACGAACAGGTGATTGTTGCGGAGGACGGGGGAGGATGACGTGGTGGACGTCAAGGAGGATATGGGCGTGGAAGTGGATGTCCTCCTCGCGGCCTCCGGGCGTGACCCGCGGTTTTCCGCCGGGACATAGCAGCGGGGAGTCCCCATTCCACGATGCTGCCTCTGATTCTTGGGTTTCAATGGCTTTGCGATGGAAAGCTTGACGTTCCCTCGCTGGAAATCCATGGACGTCCTGTGGTCTCAGGGTTGAGTTTCTCGTGGAAAGGGTTCTTGTGGTTGGGCCCCAACTGAAAGTCGGGCGTGTTTTTCTACAGGAGGATGGAACTTCAACGTAGTAGAAAAGTTGTCTGGGGACGATTGTGTAATTATTTTCGGGGTATGTTTGGTCGTTGTTCACTAAGCCCCGACGGTTCTTCCAAAGTCCTCCTGTAGGAGGCCATGTCCGACCTAATTGCAGCCACATATTGCCCGTCGCGTTTGCTTCACTACGGGGTCCCTGGGGTTCTGGACCTCATCCCAGACCGGAAACAGCGACAGACCTCCGTGTTTTTGCTGTCGATGCGTTGGCGATTATCCCCCATCCCTGCTTGCCTCTTCCGCCCCTGGCGCAGTCCTCCGAGCCGCGCAGCGCGGACAGCATGGCCGATCTCCCCGAGCTGGCGGGCAGCATGGACAACATGGAAAAGCTGCCCGAGCTCGTGGGTTCGCCGGCGCACTTGGAGCGGTGGATGCGCTCCGACCCCGCGCAGGTGCAGGAACCGAACGCCCCACAGTGTTTTTGCTCGAGGGGTTCCCACGATCTGTTCAAGCTTTCCTGGGGTATCGAAGGCATCACCGCCGCCTCCTTCCTTATGGAACCGCCCATGCGGCCAAACGTTGGGCCGAAGTGTGGCCGAGCTATTGGATCATGTGCTCCCCCCGGCTGTTGTGAAACCCTTTTGGGGGAACATTTGAAACAGGATGACAGGAGGAGGAAAAGGGGGAGGAGGAAAACGAGGCGGAGGCGCAGTTGGAGGAGGAGGACGAAGAGGAGGCCCCTTTAGCCTCTCGTGAGGCCCTGTTGGGGCCTCCCGGGGGTGTCCTGGGAGCCTCTTGGGGGCCCCTGAGCGGCCTCTTGGGGAGACCTCCTGGGGCCTCGTGGGGGCCTCTGGGTGGCCTCCGTGAGCCTCTGAAGCATCTCTTGGGCTTTGGAGGTTGTCTTTGGGCCCTCTTGGGGCGGTCATTGGTTTTGCTGTGGGCCCCTCATCCGCAATTATTTAACCTGCGCCTCGCGGCACGGTGGCGGATGCATGGATTTGCTTCGATCGATGTTGATGCAGTAAGATTTACCTGGATTTACTTCGGCTCAGCTTCAACGCAGTTGTCTCGATCGTTCAGAGAACAGGGGTACCTCAGGGGTACACTTTCAGGGGGCTCGTGAGACGCACGTTTACCGAGGATGGGCGGCCCCCTCGTAGAACCCCGAGTTGGGCGCACGAGTGTTGGTCCACCCACAGTTTGGCATCGGGGGCGCCATACGCCTCGTTACAGCCCTTAGGGATCCTGGTCAAGGATGCCCAGCTGGTGCATCAGCGACCCGAGGGCCGACGCCGTCGCGCGTGGGTCTTCAGCACGGCCGCCGCCCGCTGCCGCCCGCCCTCCTGGAGGGCCGCCCTGGCATCGCTGGGACGTGTGCATTTGTCTCGGCGAGGCCAGTGCCAGAAAGTCTGGACCATCTCGGAACACCTTGCCGGGTGACAAGAGAAGCAGGGGAGGAGGAGGAGGAGGAGGAGGAGGAGGACGAGGACGAGGACGAGGAGGAGGAGGACGAGGACGAGGAGGACGAGGAGGACGAGGAGGGCGAGGAGGAGGAGCAGGCGGACGAGGAGGAGGAGGAGGAGGAGAAGGAGGAGGAGGTGGAGGCGGAGGCGGAGGAGGCGGAGAAGGAGGAGGAGGAG